GTTCGTTCTTTTCTGTTTTGTCGAACTTTCCCATATCCCAGCGTCCGTGATTTTGGACCTTCTTCCCAGAAGTCTCCTCGCACGTCTTTCCCAGTCTCCTCTGCGCGGCCTTCGTTTTAAGATCTTGTTGCCTGCGCTTAGCCTACACCCTGCTCCCTGCGTGCATCGCGCGCTCCCCCGGGCGCGTAAGTCGTGAGGGGCGACCGGCCATGTTGGGGTGGTTCCGAAGCTGGGCCTTATGCGGAGCGCGGGGCTCCTCAGATTCTGAGTAGAAGACCCTGGGTGGTGGTTGGTTGTGTTGTAGATCCCAGCGTAGTGATCTTGAGATCAGTGCGTTCTGAGAGTTCGGAGGGACACACGCACACACACACACACACACACACACACACACAGTAAAAGATCAGCGCGTTCTGAGAGTTCGGAGGGACACACACACCCCACCCCCGCCCCCCACAGAAAAGATCAGTGCGTTCTGAGAGTTCGGAGGGACACACACACACACACACACCACCCCCTCACACCACCCGCAACCCCCACCCCTGGAGGACTTCCCTAGGGGATGATGCCGACTTTTAATCCACTGCACAGAACGAGATGTTCTGTAAATGCTACTTGTTTGTGTCAGTAGCTGGCTTGCATTTCGGGTGAGGTTGGAAAAGGACTGACTAATTTAAAAGGAATTTGACACCGAGGTTAGCCATGAAGTTAACCTTCTGAAACCTAAAAAAGAATTTAGATATAATTAATACGCCGTGATAGTAATCATTTAAATGTACAATTAAAAAATTTTTTTAGTGTATCCACCAGATGTGCAACTCTTACTAGTATGTAATCCCAGGCCATTTCACCACCTCAGAAAGGAAGCCTGGCCCCGCCAATACTGCTCCTTCCCTCAGGCCCTTAAAGCCGCCAGCCTTCTGACTATGGATTTGCCTGTTTGGACATTGCATGTGGTTGTTTCTGGCTTTGGCATCTCTTTATTCTCCATCTGTTGATGACATTCCTCCATCCTCCCCCAGACTTACTTCTGTTCCTCTACAGAATTTGCAGACTAAAGCACCAACTCTTTACAATGAAAATTTTGGAACATTTTACTTGGGTCTTCAAAACTGGTGTCCTTCAGGAGTGCTTGCCATTTTAAAGCCCTGTTTCAGATCAGCACCTATCAGACCGTGGAGTGCAATGGTGGCAAGCAGAGAAGTGTTAGCATGCCTTTCTCAGGAAAGCAGAAGCCATTAGAGATCACTGTTGGGTAATAGGTGCCCAGTGACTGGCACTGGGTGTAGGTGGAGATTAGGACATGAAAAATGTAACTGACCTAGATATGGGAGATAGGTTTTACCTAAAAAAAAGGAGAATCTTTTTAATTATTCAAGATCAGAAAGCCCAATATGGATATTTTGTAGTCTTTCAACATTTCCCACTCAAGTCATTCATTTTTAATAGCTTACTGGCAGTTTTGAAGCGGAGCAGAACTGTTCTTCATACTCCGTGTAGGCTGGGGACCGCTAAGTGCTAAGGCTTTATTGCTGAGTGTAAGCCTGCCCCGCCTTTGTTCTCAAATGACTGAGGCTAATGGAGTTGGAAAGGAAAAGATGGAAGTGTGATACAGGCCTTGAGTATATCGAAAGTGCTAGAGGAACACAGGGTTAATTCTACTTAGAGAATATGTTGTCAGTTGCCATTGAGTGGGCTAGTGTGGTGAGGTGCATAAGGCCTCAAAAAGGAGAGAGCATTTTTAAGATTTGTATCCTAAAATATTCAGCCCTGTCGCTAAAACTTTTGTTGATCACACACACTGCAGAAGCATGGACATAAATGTGAATTAAAAACACTTGATATATGTGTATAATCCTCCTTATATCAGGGTGTTCTTGATTCACACCAGTGAAGTCCCACCTTTTGTGGAGTCTCATCAGTTCTACTTCTTACAGTACAGAGCCAGGCTCCGTCTCTTTCTCTACATTTTCGCCGTTAGTGGAGCCCTTCTAACATCCTGTCTGGACTTGTCAGAGAAACTCCTAGTTGATGTCTCCTTCAATTATTCACTGTTAGCAAAGAACTTTCTGAGGCATACATAAACTTTTCATTTTTTTCATTTATCTAATGTTAATGTGATTTGGGTGAAAGTGTGTAGAGCAAATTGGTTTTCCGTTTAATAATTTATTACATCTTATGACATTGATTGCAATCCCCACGATGTAATAGCACTTGCCCCACTTTATTCCTTGTGCCTCCCGCTTCCCTTCAGCATCCTTTCCTGCCAGCTTTTTCCTTGAGTCAGTTTGACCCTTTTGAGCTTTTTATAGCTGATTGTTCTGATGGGTGCTGCCTCCCTGGCATTACTGCATGCTTTATAGGCCTGTCTTCTTTGGCTAAAAGGTGTAACATTCAGTTCCAGGCCAGACGCATAAATGTAATCTTATAATCATTTTTTAAAAACAACTTTTTAATTGTGAATTAGGTGGGAGTTTACATGTCAGGTGATCATTTTTATATTTCACAGTTTTAACATTTATCAACCCTCCCATTAGCTTGACCCCCTTTTACTCCATCTCTCTTATCTTAGCTATTCTTTCCCTTCGCCTGCTTGACACCTGTCTGCTCTCTACCTTACTACTTCTCTTCCTTCTACTCCCCTTGGAACCACGAAAGTCTTATTTCTTTTGGTACGATGGCCTTTACGTTCATTTTTAATAGTGTCTTGATTAATTTCGCTCAGCTTAATACCCTCCAATTCCACCCAGACCGTGAGGTCATCCAGGTCACCATCCTTCTTTGGCGCTGTGTAGTACTCCCTGATGTGTATGTGCCCATTCTCCCACCGGCAGGCATTTTGGTGGCTGCCATCGTCTTGCCATGGTGAATGGTTCAGTGGATGTGCACCCTCTGCTCATGTTGTGGACCTCGTTTCCTTACCGAGTAGAGGACTGCTGGCCAATCAGGTATTTCTGTTTCTGGTTGTTTGGGGACGTGCCATACCCCTTTCCACAGTGGTTGTACAATTCGATAGCCTGTCTGCTATATCGGAGGGATCCAGTGTCAGCGTTCGTTCTTTTCTGTTTTGTCGAACTTTCCCATCAATACCTGTGTGAAGGGGAGCACATCTTTTTTTTTTCCAGACTTGAAATTTTTTTATTTTATGTACAAATAGTTGGCATTGTTTCTTCCTTTGGGTAGCGGTCTTGGATTGTCCATCCAAAGATAACCTAGTCCAGCTTGATGAAGCCGGTGTCCTTCGTGTACTGACGGAAACACTGACGGCGGCACATACTGAGGCCGTGTTTCCGGATCAGACCGTGCCGGTTTGAGCACACGCGGCAAGAATGGGAGCCCTGTATCAAAAGATATAGCGTCTGGGGTCTTAAAGGCTTGTAGGCAAACAAGCGGCCATCTAGCTCAGAAACAGCAAAGTCCACAGA